CGCATCTCTTGCTTTTAAAAGAAATACTCGGCAGGCCTCCGTTCTCACCCCACAACTGTCTGAATTAATTTCTGGAGTGCATGGATGGATAATTTGCATGAGGGTTTTGTTATGCAGTTCCTGGCTCTCCCCCTTTCCTCACCCAGCACCTAGGTCAGGTGACTGAGAAGGGGGGGATGATGAAACTGAAGCTCTATTCCATTCCATTCCATATGATTAACTGTTGTTGATTACTCGCCTGCTTTTCCTTTCTGCCTTCCTTTCTTTTTTCCCCCAGTTCTTTCATTCTTTCTTTCTTTGTTCCTGCAGAAGGGAAGACCTTCTGGCACAAATCCCAAACACAATCTCCTCTTTCCAGCTATATCTTAAGCCTTGGGCAGGGCTCTTTCTTGATTCTACAAGGATGTAGAAGCCCGGCCAGGGTGGAAATGTCTACAACCCCAACAAAAGAAGCACAATTCATGGAGATGAACTGCTCCTGCTCTGGTAACCTTTCTGAACCGATCCTTCAGTGGCCATTTCTGCAGCTGGAATTGTTATACACTTTGCTAAACAGAATAGTAGTATAAAACACAGGAGATAATCTACAGTCAGAACAGATGCATTTAAATACTTCTAGAATAAGAAATATTTGCCCCTGTACTACATAAACACGGGTGGGTGAGGGATCTGTGCTGCACAGCCCCCCCCCATATGTCAGATAAATTCATACTGCTGATTTTTTTTGCATGCCTGCATACATGCATTCTGCTTTTTTGCATGCCTGCATACATGCACTCTGCTTTTTTTTGCATGCATGCATGCATGCATTCCAAGAGGACAAACACTCAAGCTTCACAATACAGCACAAATAAACTCAGATCTGGCTAATTTTTAATTCATCGGACTGTGGATTTATTCGAAGGTTTCACCTCTCCCTCTCAAATTGGTCCATTGATACAAACACATCAATCACAAGTAGGTAGTGACCTGGGTTGTTTCAGTATAAACAGAAGAAAATCTGGAATTTGGGGGTGGGGTGGGGAATTAGATTCTACTTTGAAAAAAAATGCCGTTTGACTGTATTTACTAGAATTACCCGGGAAGGTGAGGATGATACAGCTGAAGGATGATGATCATGAGGACGAGGACGCCTGGCTTGCCTTAAGTGCACATGTTTCTACTTTATGGTTCCTATACATTAGTAAAAGTGGATCAGGACCCCATAAATTCCTGTGTGGTTTTCCTAGCTGGCTGTTTTCCTTTTCCTGCAAACCACCCTTTAAACTCATATTTTTTTAAAAAAAACATACAAACAAGGGCTCAGAACAAACCAATCTCATCCTCCTGTATTCACAAAGGCAACACCACACACACAGAGAGACACAGACACACACACAGACACAGACACACACACACACACACTTACTCCCCCCCCCCTTTTGGAGAAGGCTTCTGCGTTTTAAATTATAATTTGCAGGCTGAATAGATGCATCCCATTCGCAAGGCAGTCACACTAAATTGGGGCGGGGGGGGGAGAAGAGAGAGTCACATCATCCGTCCCCTGTTTTGTTAATTGCAAACGTCTGGCCCAAAGAGTGTGTGTGTGTGTGTGTGAAGCCCCCTCTACCTATTGGCGCTGCCTTGGTCTGTGTTATCCGCGAGGCTGCGTCTTAAACACGGAAGGAGAGAAAAAAAGACACGAGGGGGAGAGACGGCTGGGGTTTCTAACCAGGAACACAAACATCATTCCGATATTATATATATATAAACAAACCAGGAAAATGGACCCAATTAACTGTCCATACAAATAGATACATATTATTATTTAAAAGAACAAACCAACGGGGACATTAGCAGCAGTTCCAAACACAAAACCCGGGGAAGGGTTGGGCTAGTGGGTCGAGGAAAACCCCGCCAGGATTTCTTAAGGCAGCGATCGCCTGCCACGATTTATCGCTTTAATGGGATGATCACAACCCGATCTATGGGCGAGGCGAGGTGGGATTTCCCTTCCGCCCCCCGGGACATTAGCAGCAGTTCCAAGCACAAAACCCGGACATTCGGCGCAGGACAGCCGGCGAGTAGTCCGTTTGCACGATCCTTCGCATCCACACCGGGAAAGAAACACGAGTGGTTTTAATTTTTTTTCTCCCCCCCCACCCCCTTGCAAATTTCAAACGGGCTTGAAAAGAAGAGACAGAACTTGGATTCCAAAAATAAATAAATAAAATGGGGGGGGTCCGATTAAAAGTCACCAAAGTTTTTAAACTCATTATCATCATCACAACAACAACATATCACAAACAGTAAGGCCGCAAAGGATTCTGGAAGGCGGGGGGGGGCACACAAGGAACTTTTAAAATAAATCCAGTTCCGGTCATGCCACACAAATAATGCAACCTTTTGTCAATTTGTAAAAACGTTTTATTTTAGACCTTTTTGGGTGTCTGTCTTTACAACAATAAAATATTGCGTCAATATAAACCCCCCCTCCGACTAAAAGTGGTTGACAACCGAACATCATAAGCGACTGGTGTTTTTAAGCTTTCCTTCTTTCGACAGCCGCTTCGGGTTTTTATTCTTTCTTTCTTTTTTAATTATTTTTTTCAATTTTTTTAAAAACTTTTTTTAAAACATAATGCGGAATTTATTGAAAATAAATAATTGTCGGTCACTGCGATAGGCAATTTGGAATAAAATAGTTGAAAAAAGCAACCTTTAATGAAAATAGCGTTTATTATAATCAGTTACTAAATGAATAATCTAAATGATCTTTTTTTCTTTTAAATTAATAGCTTCCCAAAAAACGCTTAGAATATACAAAACTGTACAATGTAATTTTTTTTCGTTCTTTTTTTTTCCTTTTTAAAAATTATTTAATATAAAGTTGGCAGAAAGATAGCGGTTTTTTTCCCCCAGTGTTGGGATATTTGAAAAGCTTGATCAGAATCCTTGGAAGGGGCCCGGACAGAAATGTGGAAATAAAAACAGGATGAATTTCCGCGGCGGAGTGGGGTGCAGCAGGAAGAGAAATCGGGAGGGGAAAAAATTCTTTTGTATAATTAATATTTTACGGGGCGCAATCAGGGGCAGGAGGGCCTATTATAAAATGCCAAATTGGGGAGGGAGGGTAGGTTATTATATCCTAGACCTAGACTTTTTACGCGGGGGGGGGAGATATATACGGGAAACTATGGAAAAAAATATTCTTATCCTTTACTCCTCTGTAAATCAAAGGGGCCGAGCGCCGGAATGGCTAGCCACTGTGTCCTCCTGTTTCCCAACCGCCTTCCAAAAATGTATTTCCAATAAATATACATATTACGGGATCCGCCTAGGTGAAAGCGGACAATGCACTATAGGTCTGTTTGTACAAGGCTGCACAAAAACCTTCTGATGTGCGCCTTTACAAACCTGCACATGCACACCTACCAGGAGATCCGAGCTACTTCCTAAACCCCGAGGTTGCTGTGTGAGTGGATCTACGGGGGAAAATCGTGTCTATTATTATTATCATCATCAATAATATAATATTCTTATTATTTCCTCCGGGAATGCCCATGTTCAAAATATCATCAAACAGCTACACTCAAGACACAAGTCTTTGGAAGAGATCTGGCCCTCCTCTAGCAACACAGCGACAGAAACTCTCCAGAAAAATAGCATTTTTCCCTTCCTCTTCCATTCTTCGCCCGCCACCCCGTCCAAGCTTAAATCCAACCCACTCCGACTCCTCTTCTGACGCTTTTGGAAGAAAACTCACGGATCGGATCCCCAAAGCCAAAGCCGGGGCTGATAAAAGGCTGTCGCTAAACAACAGACCGTAGCTTCGAACCAGGAGACACAGCGGCTCACCAGCGGCCGAGGAAGCGGAGCGTTTAACAAAAGGCAATCGGTTTATTTTGGCGACGTTTTGCTTTCTTTCTTTTAAAGCTCTTTGCTGGGAGGAACCAAAATCCCAGGGCAGAGCAATCAGGAAACAAAGAAAATAAATCGGGAGGTAGGGGGATTAAAGGATGTTATGTTGACGAGGTACACTTCTGAGCGCTATTTAAATAGAAAAAATGGGGGAATCTAAGAAAAATTGGGAAATTCAGATATTTCTGAAGGTGTGGTTGTTTTGGTGGGTTTTCTATAAGATTTTCAGTGCCCCCCCCTTATAGGACCAAATTTGGAGAATTTGACTTTTTTTTCTTCCCTTTTCGCCTACCGCGCATTTTTAAATAATGCTGCCAATAATGATGACATGGAATAAGGAAAGGGAGGCAGTGAAAGGCTGATGGATTGGGTTCCAATTTTAGGTCATCGATGTTGGTTTACAGGGGTAATAAAACGCCCCCGCCCCCGACCTTCGGAAGGCCGCCATCTCGGAGTCTGGGTCAAGACAAGTCCAGTCAAGCTAAAAAGACTTCCTGAAAGAAAAAGAAAAATCCATCTCCTGAAATATACCGGATTGTACCAAGGCGCTGGAAGGTTACTCATAGGCACGTCTTGTCTTTTAAAAAATTGTCGATACAGAAAGAGAAAGACCGAGAGAGACACACAGAGAGAAAGGGAGAGATTTGCGTGAGATTTTTTTGTTGTTGGAATTTTCCTAGCAGAGAATTATTATTTTTTTTAAAGGAACAAACACACACACACACAAAATTACCTTCCCTGTTCAGCACAGAAAACCAGGTCAAGGGAGGAGGAAAAAAAAACACGTGACAGCAGAGAGGAAAAATAAAAATAAGCGTGCCTCTCGAAAGATGCAGCGTGTCTGTCTGGACGTGTGAGCGCGCGTTTGCGTACCCGTGTCCTGCCCGGAACGAGGGAAAGAAGCCGGCTTCCCAGGCGCACCCTCCCCCTCCCTTCTTTTCACTTCTTAATTTGGGGTTGCTTTGGGAGTGACGGTGGTCCCGAATGAACCAGTATTCTCCTTCTCTCCTGGAGGCCGGAAAGGATGATAAGCAACAGAAGTGACCAAAAAAATCCTGGCGAACGATGCAAACGAGGAGAAAGGGAGGGAGGGACGGGGGATGGGGGGGAAGAGAGAATTGTATATATATTTATATATATATATATATTTATAGAATCACACCCAAATGATCCTGATCCGCCGCCGCCGCCCCAGTTCCCGAGCGGGTCCGTCATAGTCAAAGGTCGTGGCAGGAAGGCGGGTCCGTCTTCACGCCGTGGGGGTAGACTTCGTGGGGCTGGGGAGGCTCTCCCGGCGGCGTCATGCGCTTCTCCTTCTGCCGCCGGTTGCAAAACCAGACCCGGACCACTTCTTTCTCCAGTTGGAGGCTGTCGGCCAGCGAGGAGATCTCCTGGGCGGCCGGCTTGGGGCACTTGAGGAAGTGGGTCTCCAGCACCCCTTTGACGCTCACCTCGATGGAGGTGCGCTTCTTGCGCTTGCGGCCCTGGGCGGCGATCTTGTCCAGGCCGGTGGGGCTGCCGGTGGAAGAGTCGGCCTCCTCCAGCCACTTGTTCAGCAGCGGCTTGAGCTTGCACATGTTCTTGAAGCTGAGCTGGAGGGCCTCGAAGCGGCAGATGGTGGTCTGCGAGAAGACGTTCCCGTAGAGGGTGCCCAGCGCCAGGCCCACGTCGGCCTGGGTGAAGCCCAGCTTGATCCGCCGCTGCTTGAACTGCTTGGCGAACTGCTCCAGGTCGTCCGAGGTCGGCGTGTCCTCGTCCGAGTGCGCCTCGTGGTGGTGGTGCGGGTGGTGATGCGGCGGCGGCTGCTGCCCGTGCGGATGCTGCTGCTGCTGCTGCTGCGCGAGGTGGTCCGGGTGGTGCGGGGGCGGCGGCGGCGGCGGCGGCTCCTCGTGGGCGTCCCGCAGGCCGTGGTGGTGCATGCCCGGTGTGGTCCCGAATGAACCAGTATTCTCCTTCTCTCCTGGAGGCCGGAAAGGATGATAAGCAACAGAAGTGACCAAAAAAATCCTGGCGAACGATGCAAACGAGGAGAAAGGGAGGGAGGGACGGGGGATGGGGGGGAAGAGAGAATTGTATATATATTTATATATATATATATATTTATAGAATCACACCCAAATGATCCTGATCCGCCGCCGCCGCCCCAGTTCCCGAGCGGGTCCGTCATAGTCAAAGGTCGTGGCAGGAAGGCGGGTCCGTCTTCACGCCGTGGGGGTAGACTTCGTGGGGCTGGGGAGGCTCTCCCGGCGGCGTCATGCGCTTCTCCTTCTGCCGCCGGTTGCAAAACCAGACCCGGACCACTTCTTTCTCCAGTTGGAGGCTGTCGGCCAGCGAGGAGATCTCCTGGGCGGCCGGCTTGGGGCACTTGAGGAAGTGGGTCTCCAGCACCCCTTTGACGCTCACCTCGATGGAGGTGCGCTTCTTGCGCTTGCGGCCCTGGGCGGCGATCTTGTCCAGGCCGGTGGGGCTGCCGGTGGAAGAGTCGGCCTCCTCCAGCCACTTGTTCAGCAGCGGCTTGAGCTTGCACATGTTCTTGAAGCTGAGCTGGAGGGCCTCGAAGCGGCAGATGGTGGTCTGCGAGAAGACGTTCCCGTAGAGGGTGCCCAGCGCCAGGCCCACGTCGGCCTGGGTGAAGCCCAGCTTGATCCGCCGCTGCTTGAACTGCTTGGCGAACTGCTCCAGCTCGTCCGACGTGGGGGTCTCCTCGTCCGAGTGCTCGGCCCCGCACGAGGGGGGCGCGCCCAGCTCGGCCCCCTCCGGCCCGTCCCGCAGCACCACCGACGACGGGTGCAAGGGGGGCCCCGACGGCGCCTGGGGCTGGGGGGCCGCTTGCTGGGACTGGGGCTGCGAGGGAGGAGGCGGTTGGGGGGCTTGGGGGGGCGGCTGGGGGGGGGCGGCGGCCGGCGGCGGGGTGAGGCCCCCGTGCTCCAGCATCCCGCTCACCGTGAAGCCCCCCTGCCCGTAGTGAGCCGGGCTGGCCCCCCAGGTGTGGGGGGAGCGCTGTTGCTGGTGATGCTGCTGCTGCTGCTGTTGCTGGTGCGGGTGCGGGTGCTGATGCTGGTGGTGGTGATGATGCTGGTGGTGGTGGTGGTGATGATGGAGGAGGGCGCCCAGCTGCAAGTCCTCCCGGCCGGGCTTCACGTCGGGGGGCTCCAAGGGCGAGGGCCAGGCGCCCCCGCCTCCGCCGCCGCCGTCGCCCAGGCTGGCCACCCAATGGTGGCCCAGCGGGGGCCCGTTGCTGCCCACCGACGGCAGGGATTAAAAAT